TATATTTGAGTATGGTGTTTGTTCAACCTGCGCCTCCTACGGAGATAGTGGAAGGTGACGGCATAGCGTGATGGTTGTTGCGAGTGAGAGAATTCTGGGAAATTTCTTGGGGACTATGGCTGTTGGCTCTCAGTGTGTTGCGGACGTGGGAGTTTTGAGATTTGGTGAAGGAATTTAAGGTTTTGAGCGGAATCGTGGCGGACCGGCACTGGCCCCACAAGGTTTGGGTCTAAGCATGTCTGTATTTGCAGGGCTCTTGCCAGGTCTATGCAGCATCAGAGTGTAAAGCCACACTAACACAGGAGCAGAACCTACCAATTGAGTTCGGAGGTACTACCATATTCCTGAGCAGGCACCTCATTGCCTTCAAAAGCTAGAAAGGTCCCCACTAATTGTCCCATATCAACAGTAGCAATAATAACAATAATAGTAATAGTAACAACAAGAGTAATAGTAACAGTAATAGTAGCAACTCCTAAACATCCCATAGAAAGGAAGCCTTGGCACTGTGGCAGGAAGGCCTTGCCCAAGCATGCTCTTGTCTGAGGCGAGCCGCAGAAGGTCCCACTGCCACCTGGCCCGGCCAGGCTCAGACGTAAGACGGGAAAAGTATGTTATAGTATACTAGGGCAAGGGGCTATATAGGGATAATGGAAAATAAATGGAAACTGCTATGTAGGGTCTAGAAACGAGAGCAGCATGGGTAGACATGACGGAAGAGGCATTAATGACCTTGGCTCTTTTGAAGACGGGAAAAGTATGTTGTAGTATACTAGGGCAAGGGGTTATATAGGGATAATGGAAAATAAATGGAAACTGCTATGTCGGGTCTAGAAACGAGAGCAGCATGGGTAGACATGACGGAAGAGGCATTAATGACCTTGGCATTCTAGTAGAAGCACATGAGAAGGAGACATCATCGCGAACTGTGCAAATGGCACAGCCTGCCATCGTCCATACCGAAGAGATCGCAATCAGCACAATATTGTATCAGGAACGCAGCAGGATGGCACGCTTATGTTGAAGCTCACGTTCGCTACAGATCTCGAGCCATAAGCGACTTCGAATCCAAAATCGAAGCCAGTAGGTTATCTCAATGCTAGCTTTTGCATCTTTTTCTGGAGGCATTTCGTCTTGGGGGAGCAGGGGTCAGGAGGAGGAAAATCTGAAAAAAGTCTGCCAGGTTGAATAAGTCCAGAAATATCCATGTTTGAGTCCTTCTTAGGCATACCATTCTTCGGAAGAGCAACAATCGCAATTGGGCCATGCTGCAACAAGACTCAGCGTGATGCAACATGACTACAACATTTGCACGGAGCTGACCCGAGTCATGGTCAATGGAAAGCAGGAAGTACAGCTAGCAGGATAGCAACCATGAAGAGAAAGTGGGCGAAATAGAAACCACGCAAGCTGCGGTGATTGTGCGGGCAGCATAGAAGTAGTACAGCTTGCACAGATGACAAAAGGTCTCCAGCATCAAGAGATGTGCTGTTGTGAGTGAACAAATAGTCGCGCGTGATTACGGCAAGTGAGGCCAGCCTAAGAAAAATGTAAATACCCAAATTCCCGAAAGGACGCCCTGGTTGCTGAGGACTTCTACTCCTGCCTTCCGTGCAGACCTCTGAGTAAAGTTTTGAACCCTCTCTGATATGACAGCATGTCGTTTAGTCATGGAAAAAGTCTAAGCCAGGATGATGAGCAAAGACATTACACGTAATACCAGTAGGTAAGAGTGGTAGCGGTAGAAGACATGATGAAAACTCTGGTGAGATGAAGGTAAAACCCTGGAATAGCTGCGCCATTGTTCAGCAGATGTCTATTCTGCAGAGTCTTCACCCATACAGTATGTCACACATTGCATCATAAACCAGACTCGAAATGCAGAGCAGAGGCTCAAACCCAGACCCTGAGGCGAAGAGCATACCACCCGTGACCCTCGACCCCAAACAGTGGTAGTGTTGAGTGGTAGTAGTTGTTTTCGTTATCCTCTTACTTGTCCTCGTACTTTTAAGAGTAGCAGTATCGGCGACAGAAGCAGCAGCAGGTGTAGTACTAGAAGTAGTAGTAGTAGTAGTAGTAGTAGTCATGTGCCTGGCTTCGTATTGGGAGGTCAAAGCCTCGACCTCGAGGCCGCCAGAAGAAAGCCAAGCCCGAGGCTCCCACGAACAGATTAGGGGTCCCTTTTGGGGTATTTATTGGGGTTTAGGGTTTAGGGTTTAGGGTATATTGGGATAATGGAAAATGAGATGGAAACTACTAAAGCCTAATTTAGGGTTGAGAGTTTCCCAAAACTAGGGGTACCTTTTTGGCGTCAAGTGGGGGTGTCCCATGATTAGAGGTACTAAAGGGATATAAAAGGATCATAGGGGTTATATAGGGTTTAGGGATTAGGGTTTATGGTTTAGGGTTTCCCATAATTAGGGGTACCCTTTTGGGGGTCCCCATAATCAGGATTATTCCTATTTTGGGGTCTATGTTGGGGTCCCCCTATTTAGGGAAACTACCAAGTTTGGAGTTTGGGCTTGCTACCCTGCTGTTTGCTTACGAGGGAGTGGGGAAGTGATTCCCCATACTGCTTGTTACGTAGGTCCTAGAACCTTGCCCGTATTCAGTCCCTACCCCACCTGAAGCACCAGCAAGGTATTCTATTTAATAGTAGGCATGCATTCGTAGCATGAGTCGCGCTGCTTGCACCATCTTGCACCACGACGGCTGTTAGCACCAGTACTGCTACTGAAGCTGCCCCTTCCGCTGCTGCTGCTGCTGCTGCTGCTGTTGCTGCTTCTGCTGCTGCTGTCGCCGCCGCCCCGCTCGCATCCCGACTGCTAGTAATAGTTTATGGGCATGTCCTTTCGTTTTGATGGTGCAGAGGTTGGAAGGTTGACTCTTCAAGGTTGTCACCGAGCTTTTTCTTGTTTCCGGCCTAAGGTCAATGTTGACGTTTTGTAAGAGTCAGAATGCCAACTTGGAGCAGGGCCTTTAGCTTTTTTCTTTTGTCTTTTTTTTACCAGCTCCTCGCAGCTGCTGTAGGACGGGGCGTGTGTGCTCACAGGATGCTGCTGTAATACACGGTCACCGGGGATCGTAAGATGCCCAACAACTTGCACCTGGCCAAACACTAAACCCTGTGAGATCATGTACTAAAGCTTCTACACATCATGAGCCTTTTCTGATTCCACTCATGCAGCACGGTAGGCACTTCCGCTCGTAGATTGCGTTGATAAATGCAATACGAACACCATTAACAGCATGAGTCACACCGCAGGTCGGCAAGCCGTATGGAGGCTGCCAGTTTGAGAGAACCACCAGCCATATAATCAAGACAGTTGAGGACGGAGAAAGCTGCTAAGCAGTGCATTTGTTTCAGCAATGCTACATTCACGCTTGGCAGCGTTGTCACTACGCCTGCTATGGCCATGATAGCATCCCCCACCCTCTCAGGGATGCACAAAATGGGTGGTTGTCAAAATTATGGTCTCTTTTTGGGTCCCTATTATAATATGGCCCCTAATATTTAGGGTACCCAAAAAGGGACCCTAATTTTGACAACCACCCAAATGGTACCCCAAAAATCAACCCCACTTCCAAAAGGTTCACAAAGGGGGACAATTGTTTGTTTGTTTACCAGCTGTTTCAGGGCGTGTCACTCAAAGTGGCTCAACCTTGAACCATAAACGGCCTGTAGCACCTAAAGCACATATCGGATGTTTGACTGAGATGGTCGTGGTCTCCATGGCCTCTGCGGATGTGGAGGATGAGTCGTCGGCGGAGTTTGGCTATCGGAGCCTCTTCGACGCCAGGATGCAAATGATATGTTGCCTGATTTGGGATTTAGGGATGTAGGACATGTTGCCGGAAAATGATGAACTTCATTGGGGGATGTTTTCAACTTGGCCGCACTTTCTTGCACAAGGGTTTTCCCATGGCAGATGGATACTTTGCTGAACCTGTGATAAGATTCGAGTCTGGTTTCTTACCACAGTGCATGATGCCAAGGGGGGTCGTTCCAAAAATGAGGGGCCGTTCTGCGAGGCTGCCTAGTAGCCTAGTAGTGATCTTGCACATTTGCCGTAACATTGGTGGGCCCTTAAGCTTTGGTCAATGTGATCTTTATCTGTTTTACTGCGCTCGTGGTGGTGTCATGGCTGAGTGTTTGATAGATAGGTGGCTTGCTCTCGCTCGGTTGCCACTTCCTTGTCCAGCGCCATGATGATGGGTCAGAGGGCGGCTAGAAGTAAAGGTTGCAGGGCCTCGTTCTGGACAGGACCTAGAATTCTGGCGATTGAATGGAAACTCAACTTATTTGCATAAGCACCGACAAGTCCATGTAGTCCCTCCCTCCCTCCCTATCTCTCCAACCCCTCCCCCTGTATCCCTCTCCCTCAATGCCTCCGTAGAACGAAGGTCAGTCTCGGCACGAAGTAGCCAGGACAGGTGAAGCCTGTACAGAAGGCACCAGCTTGTGTTTCACATGCAGGCTTGTTCCTGAAGCCAAAGTCCGTGCTGTCGAGGGCCGTTTAAAGTCTTGTGATCTAAGCACGGCCTTGCAACCCATCACGACAGAGCAGCGCAGGAAGCCGCGACTCGATAGATCTTGGGAGGAAACCTGGAAAAGTGATGCCCGGAAGTGCGATGATGTACAGGCAGGCCCAGCATACCCGACTGGAGCAATCTTCTGCTATACAATCTACGCTGGACTGTTCGTGAGGTGGGCATGCCAGTACCGTGCACAAGGCTGTCAGCTCTAGGGGACGCAGAGACGAAAGATGTGCATGATAGCAGCAGCACACTGATCCTTCTGTTCATGTAAACTAGGCGTAGGCGAAGCCAATGATTAGAGTCATGTGCCTTCCGTGCCCGCAGAACCGCACCAGCCTCAGATGCCACGGCATCTGCAGGGTCGTAGCCAGGATCTGCTATGATGTTCGGAATGTGATTTCCACTTCAGCAGCGGGCTCAAGAGAAATTTGAAGGCTATTGAAAGCTTGCTGGCAGCACCGATGACAGGCGAGACAAGTGCCTGCGCAGCTCTCGCACCAAACCAGCTGTTCACTAGACTCACTAGACTAGACCAAGCAGTCAGAATCAATCGGAACAGGTAGCCCCCCTTCTCACCGAGATGTGAGCATCATCAAAGCGGAAGCAAAAGAACCATCGACAGCCTCAACTCATTGAACCAAATTATGTTGCCCTAGCTGCGCCACTTGCTCCGGTTACTTGGCGTGTAGATGATACATCGGTTTTATGTCTCCATAGAGGTTTCCATGGGAGCACGGGAGCACGGGAGCACGACTGAGAGTTTAAACCCCTTCACCATGAAGCTTGAGTGCCCAAACTTTTGGCCCTGAAGCCCAATCCTTACCTTCGGAACCCCCCACCACCCCCGAATATGTTTGGCACGGCCCGGCACAAGGAACCTAAACCCTGAAGCCAAATGTTGGCTCCAACTTTCAACCCTCTGTATTGTAGACCTTAAACTCACGCTAGAATTTCTGCCCAGCTGGGAACTTAGGCAAGGGGGATTTGAGAGTACCGCAGGAAAGGGCAAAGCTTTGTGCATCGCCCGACGCCACATCAAAGACCTGGAGGCAGGAGCTTTGCTTACAGCTTCTCGGCCAAGGGCTGACTTTGGGAATCTGACCGATTCTTGCAGTGGGCGTACAGTTAAAGTTAAAGATGAGAACAGCCGTGCTGTTGATCCAAGCTATTTGCAGGCACAGCTGGCAGATGCGCAGGCACAGCTGGCAGATGCGCTGCACGGTAACCTCGGCAACGTAGTACCAGCCGCCTGGCCGGAGTTGATGGGAGCTGTCTGGAATTCGAAGATGTGTTCCAAGGGTTTAGGATGGTTTAGGGTTCAAGGGTGAGGCTTGTTGATACTTTCCATGAACGGTTTCCCTACAAGTTTCAACAGCTGCCCTCAAGTTGAAGGTCAGGCAACAGATTTTGGTACCTGCATGGATTCAAACATGTTTGGTGGGCGAATGATGGTACCTGCGATAATTGTTGCCTGATTTTGGGCTCACGCCAAAGCATGGAAGGGCCGGAAGGCCACCGACTCTATGGCACCGCGAAAAATCGCACAGCGCAAATCAAACATAAAATGAGAAGTCGGAGCTTCTCCAGGCATGGGTCCCTTTCCGGGGCTTGCATGACTAAAGTGACTAAAACAGCGGGAAGAAGGTGTAAGTTGAAGTTTGTGCGAAGCTTGCTTGAAGCAGTTGTGATGAAAAGGAGCTCTGCGCGGACCATGCAGGCGCGTCATCTCTACTCGTACGATGACTCGCACAGCCACATGCGCCCTGGGCCGTTAGTGCAAAATCTTGAGAAGAACTGACCAAAGCGCTTATACACACACATGCGGCCATGTAGGCCTTGACTTTCAAGCAGAGGCACCACATCCTGAGCTCAGTTTCCCCCTTTTGATGCTAGTTTTTTGCATGTGTGTAGCTATTTTTGGGCATGCAGCCATGCTTCTGCAGAAGTACTGCTGCAGCGTGCTGGTGACCACTTCACATGCAAGCAGAGCCTTGGCAGGATGAACGGGTGCAACTGCGACGCGTGTAGTTGCATTCCACGCTTCAAGTGGAGTTTGATGCCGAATGGGCCGGTCAATGAACTTTCCAAGGCCCACACGACGCTCAAGAGGGCGCCCTCGACTGTGTAGCCCTGAAACGGCTAGTGCAGCCTTTGCATGGCAAGTCGCAAGCTGGGATGCCTCAATCGTCGACGCCTGGAGCAGATGTTGCTGATGCTCTGCGTCCAGGAACTAAGAACCTGTTAATTCTTGCATGCGGAGGATGAGTGTGGACGGCACCAGACACGGAGCCCAAACGATCCCAAACACGTGTCTTAAATCCCTTGTGGGAGACAATGCACTCGTTTGTGGCCATGGGGGCTAGTATGCTTGAAACGCGCAGTCCAAAGCATCATCCACAACCCGTGTGCGCAAGGCCGGTCACAGGATTCTACGCGGCTACAGCCGGGGTGGCTTGCCATTTGTGCATCGCCGCATTTCTGAAGGTATGCTGGATCAGCTATGCTGGATCGACCTTCCGGTGGAAGATTCCGACCTCTGCGGCACCTGGAGAGGGGTGCATCGTTGCAGATGGCACTTGCAAACCGTCCTACGCTAAAATAGGCATCCTTGTTGGTCGAAGTTCTTCACTGTATGCTATCCGCTCCGGCTGGGGTCCACCAGATTCTGCTTGGTGGTTTGCGGCTCCTCTGGCAAGCTGACAACAATCCGAACCGGACGTATGCGGAAGTCATGCCGCAACTCCTGGCCTTGAAGAAGACACCACAACTCCGGAATGGCAAAGTCAGAGATAGCATGCTTGTGCTTTTGACGCCGGTCCGATGTTTCAGTCCAACGAGGGCTCAGCACCTGGTTTAAGGAAATCCTTCCTTAGCTTCCAAACCTTTCTTTTGTCTTGCAATCGCTGGCTGAGAGGGCAAACATAATGGCAGAAGCTGTTTTTCTTGAAACCTGCGCTCCTTGTTCATAGAGATGAGGTGTTTGAGATTAAGGGTATTTAGATTTAAGGGTTGTAGGGGCTCGCAGCCTAGGGGTGATGCTTGTGCAATTACGTCGAATCGGCTTGCAGTTCAATATGCGTCTTGGGCTCAAAGACTCCACTCAGCAGATCCTACGACTCTGCTAATTTGCACTGATCTTCACCTTAGTCTGTTGCGCCCAGGGCATGTTCAAAGGGGTTCGTGGGGCTTAGGGTTTCCAATAGGTGCAGCACGGGGGTAGGAGGTATGGCTTACTGCGCTTGATCCCCACGCTCGTGCTAGCAAGAAAGTTCTGAGAGAAAACACCAGCAAGCGAAAAAAAATGCAAAGAAAGGTATCGCAACATCGCCATGATGAATCATGATGATATTTTGTCAAGCGCTTTACGTGGACCAAAATTTCTGATAAACCAACATGAAGACCAATGGACTCATAGTATCCTTGCATTTGTCCTTCATCATGAAGCCAGGATTTGACAGATGTTTCTCGCAGGCAGGGCCCCTCCAAACATCCCAGATACTATTTTTCTTTCTTAGCGGGCCCCACAGTGCGCCCCATGCTTTTGACCAGCGCCTGGTTGAGTTTCCGGTCGAGTCGTCTAAGGTCGGCTTGGAATTGGACCCGGACGGCTGGGAGACAGAGCTCTGCTCAGCGGTGCATTGTAGCATGCCCTGCGTGTCTATCTATATATATATATATATGTATAGATAGGGGTTTAGGATTTAGAGTTTAGCCTCTTGCATGGCAAGGATATAATTGGCGCCTTCGGCAGAAAGCCATCCCACCGCATAAGCCAGCAACACAAAATCAAAAGGCCAACATCACAGATCCAGGAGGCACTCCTGCAGAGTCTTCGGGCATTGAATATTAATGGACAGTAGTGTACAACCTAAATACAGGGCTCAGGACGTGAGGTTTTTAAGGGTGTAGGGCTTAGCACGTAGATAGTGAAGTTTGAGCAGGATGAAGCAGAAGTGCTCCAGAGGGAAAAATTGCACAAGCACCAAAGAGCAGGACCATACATGGGGGGTCCCTATAATGAGGAGTATCGTATTTTGGGGTACCATGTTGGGGCCCGTTATACTGATGCATTCCGGCATCAGAGAGGACGAGACCGGATGCATCTTCGCTGGGTTTGAGGTTCTCCTGTTTGCGGCTGAGGGAGCTGCGTTTGCTGCGTTTGGGCTGAGTATTGGTTGGGTACTGCCCACCCGGTAACAGCTGCCAAATATTTATATCAGACGTAATTATCGCCCTTACTCTGACCACAAAGGTAGTACCTAAGGGGGACTATAAGATTTGGGACCCTACACCCTAAACCCTTTCGGGTTCAGGGCTCACGGTCTGATTTGCCATTCTGGAGAGTCAGAGGGATAAATGGAAACTGAGCTTTAGGGTTGAGGGATATAGGCCATAGTCTGAACCTCACTAAAGGGGTTATATAGGGAATTATATAGGGGACTATTTTAAGGGTTATTAGAGGGGATATTCGGAGATTAGACTATGGCTCATATAGGCGCCTCTGCTAGGAATAGGTACCAACTTCATGGTCCCACTAGGTTGCTTGTAAAATTGTAGTATAGCGTACTTCAAGTAGACTTCAGAATGATCTGGGCAATTAATTAGGCCTCTTCAGCACCATGGGGGCTGTGGCAGATATGTAGGGAATCCAAGTACCCCATAATCGCCTGCATGGGATTTTGGAATAGGAGTTGTAGTATATGTTTTCCAGAAGTAGATGGCTACTGGATACTTAGTTTAGGGTAACAAGGAAGCCATAACGGCTGGGGTGCACAGGCGCAGAGGTTTGTAGATTTCGAGCGAGGTTACAAGAAGCCCCAGGCCTAGTGCATTGCATCCAGAAGGGGACCCGAGATTTCATATTGAAGCGTTAGAAGTCCAACCAGCAGAGAAATTGAAGGGGAGCCCTTTACAAGAGGCAATCGTTAGCTTTCAGGTTTCGTGGCTCGTGGCTCTTTGGGGTACGGTCATGCACGAGCCTTGAAGCTTATAAGCCCTTTCCATTCACTTATTCCCGTACCTGATTTGTTTGCTTTCTTTCCACCTTCATCTGGTCCGTAAATCCTGGTACACTCCCAATACAAAATTCTGTAAACCCTCAAGCCTTAAACCTGAAAACCCCAAACCCTACCTAGTCACCTCAGGATGGCACTGACATGGCGTCTCGCATCAAGGACCTGGAGGCGACCCAACCCGCTGCACTTGGATGGTTTAGGGTTTAGGTTTTAGGGTTCCTGGATCGCAAAGGTATGTAAAATAATGGCCTTTATGGCTGTTATTAGGTCTAGGGCTATTATTTCACATATTTTTTCGGGTTTACGTTGGGATTAGGAATCACGGCCTGCTTAACCTGTGGCAGGATCGCTTGCAAGCGGCCGAATTGCAGTCTTCGCAGCTGCAGGCTCTGCCCAGGAATTTTTCACAGTTCGAAAGGTCCGTCAGGGTTGATTTAATTAGGGATTTAGGGTTTGGGGTTTAGGGTTTAGGATTTAGGGTTTAAGGTTCAGCATCAGCCCCTGGATCCGTTGAAATCAACAGGGTGTTCGTGGTATTCCTGCGATTCCAAGCGTGGGGTTTAAGGTTTAGGGTTGCTAATGTTTTATACAACATGTTTTACATGCCAATGTTTTATAATACAGTAGCATGTTTTATGAAACATGTTTAGGGTTTAGGGTTTAGGGTCCTATAGTGTCCATATAAGGCATCTTTCAAATATGAGTGAGTAAAGCCCGTCCATTCAAGATTGCGGTGGAAGTTTGGATCAGGATTTATTGTTGATCGGAGCTTCTTCGTTCCCAGGACAGACATAGTGTCACTATGGCACGGCCATATACGCAACGTTAGAAAGCTACTCGAGGGCCTTGGGACTTATTTGAAACCAATTCCACGAGTCCCATAAAACGCTGCAGCAGCAATTTTCTCAGGCTTAGACATTTTCACGACTGCATAAATCGCCCAAAAAGACTTGAAAGCCAAAACTGCCAGGTTCATGAAGTGGTGCAGCATCGAGCCAAGTAAACCAGGGCGTTTAAGCCCGCTCAGCAAAAAACCCAATACAAGCCCAATGTAACCTTAATATCACCCAAATATGACCCCAAGATTACCCCAACATACCCTAATATAGCCCAATATAAGCACATCCCAAACCAGTGCCAGCCTTCAGCATCGAGTCTGGAATCCTTGGGCCATTCCACGCCCCCCAACCTCCCATAGACCCCCAAACCTTTGAATCCTCAACAACCTTAAGATGCCCAAGCCTAAAACCCCAAACGTCTAAACCCCCACCTCCCCTGCCTCACCTTCATGGCCCCACCCACCGACCCTTCCACCCCCCACACTTGTGATTAAGGAGCTTAGCTTAAGTTACTATACCGGGGAAACCATATTAACTACCCATTCTGGCAACTTAGCTTAAGTTCCTTAACAGCAACCCAGCCAGTGGGAGGCAAAGCTTGCGGAGAAAGAGGAGGCGCGGCCTGCTCAACAAAAGGGTACAGCGGAATGTGCAGGGTTCTTTTTTATAGTCCCCCTTGAGTAGATAGAATATTGGGTTTATGGGGATCTTATCATTATAGGCCCACAGCCATATTCTATCTACTTAACTGTGACTATAACCACAAAAGTATACACGAATATACAGAATACGTGTTTTTCTGACCGACGTTTTAGACTCTTACAGGGCGGGGGCAGTGCCCAAAGTATTGGATCAGGGCACTACATCCAGGATGCTTCACCTACCACCTGCCAGTCTGTTTGGTGCTCATCACCCCCTCCTCCGCCTCCTGCTGATCCTTCTGCTTGCACGTCTGCAGCAGCTGCTGCTGCCACTGCAACTGCTAGACGCTTTAGCTCTTGCTTGAGGAGGATCAGCCGACATGCGTTGCACAAGCCTTGAACCTCAGAATTAGCCCTCAATCCCGAGAGGCAAAACATCGTCCCCAAGACCTGAAATTTCTTAGGGGTTAGGATTCCGGGTTTAGGGTTTCTTGCCCAACCATGGGCCTATGTGACATGTGCAGTGCCGCACCTTACTGGGAGGGTCAGGTTAATTATACGCCCAGGTATAAGTTACGGTATAAGTGCCCTGGGGAGCCTCGTCTATGAATACTGCCACATGAGCTACAGTAATGGCACTGCCATGAAACAGATGGAGTTTGGAGACTTCTGTTTTGTCTGAGGAGTAGGGCCAGGAGGTACAGCAGCAAGCTGACCTCAAATTGATATCAGCAATTATTCAGGCCCCTGGAGTACTGGCGGATAAGGTGCACTCAGGGGTTCATGTAATCCTAGCAGAACAAGAAAATGCAGTCATTGTCGCAAGTGGGAGATGGTTTCTCTGGTTACACCTGTGCCACTGTCTTAGGATTGCTCTAAATGCATCAGGAATCTAGGGCTTGAAGGGCTTCCAAAGGAGTTAAAAGTACATGTATCTTGGGGTATGTCGGATGTCGCAGGGCTTCCATGAGCTTTTGATCGGGTTTCCACATAGAGACTATCCAGAGAGAGCAGTTAGGCATTCAGTGCTTGGGCTTTCAGGAGGTGAGCAGCTTGCAAAACATGAGTTAACAGAGCTTGAATGGCCTTGACCAAGGTGGTGGAGCAAAATTGCATGCAACTCTTATCGACAAGGGTGTAGTCAATCACAATAAGGGCCGAAATCCTTTTGAATTGGGACGGAATTTCTCAAACTTCTTAGTCTTTGCGGTTAGGAAAAATCCTGTTGGCCAAGACCAAACTCGCAACCCATTTTTGCAACAGCGATTGTTTGCCCGTTGGGTTAGAGTTGCCTTAAACCCCGACTTCTCATCCTCACACACTTTCCCTTCAACCTTCTGAGCCACTGCAGCTTGAGAAGGTCATGCTGGAGCACGGCTGAGAGTTTAAACGCCTTCACCATAAAGCTTCAGTGCCCAAGCCCCACCCCCCGCATGCGGAACCTAAACCCTGAAGCCAAAGGATGACTCCAGCTTTCAATATCCTGCATCGTAGACCTTAAGCTCACATCAGGCAAGATGAAAGATGGATATTAGGCAAGGGGCCTTGAATGCACCGCAGGAAAAGGGCGAGCTTTGGCAGCTGCAAAGGCAGGAGTTTTCCGCAGGGCTTTTGTGGCCAAGGGCTGACTTTGGGAATTTGATAGAGACTCACAGCGGACTATAAGTTATAGTTAAGAACAGCCGCGCTGTTGATCGCTCTAGGCTGAAACCAGGGGACATGCCTGCCCCAACCCCTTTGACTACTGACCTGCCAGGCTAGGATTGCCGAGCTGCAGCGCGCCAACCCCAGAAGATCTCAGGAGGACATTGCAAGCAGCAGAATTTCGCAAAATGACATCCGGAGGGAACGATCAGCTCCGCGTCGCCGCGCTGAAGCCCCATGCTTTCGCCTGAGTTGATGTGAGTTGGCGCGAAATCAGGGATGCCTTTCGTTCAAGTGTTTCCTGCGTGCAGGGGTCAAGGGTGAGGCTTGTTGCTGTTTGCCCAGAAGTGGCGTGCCTCAAGCTTTAGATCTTCAAGGAACCAAAGCCGGAAATTCAAGACAGCTTTCAATAGCTGCACTCGTGTTGACAGATTCTCATGGGTTCTGGACATTGTGGGTAGGATTATGGTGCTATTTGCAGCAATTCTTGGCCTGAGTCTGGCTTTACACCAATCATGAAGGGGCCGGATCGCCGCCGCTCTTCGGGCGCGGAAATTAGGGGCCCATTTCCAGGCTTTGCATCACAAAGCCGGAGGAGGCAGGGTGCAAGTTGCAACCCCCATGCAACCAAATAGTCCTTGGATCCTCGAGCAGAAGCACCACATCATTAGCTCATCTCTCCCCGTTTCGATGCTTGCTGCTACACGTTTTGGCGCATCTGCTGAATCACCCAAAGGCTACAGGCACGTGGAAAACAGTGAACTCCGGTCCGGGCCACCTGGAGACGGATGTGCTGGTGCACCTTCAAGCTGTCTTACGCTCGCTGCAGCAACAGACATGGGCATCCTTGTTGGTCGAAGTTCTTCACTGTATGCTCTCCGCTCCAGTTGGGGTCCACCGATTCTGCTAGGTGATTTACGGCTCCTCTGGCAAACTGCAGCTACGAGCGTTGGAGAAGACACCCCAACTCCGGGATGTAGAAGTGAGGGGCAGCTTGCTCATGTTTCGGCGCCAGTCTGATACTTCTGCCAAACAGGGTCGCAGTACCTGCTTTGAGCGAGCCCATCGTCAGCTTCGAAGCCGTTCCATCTTTTGCAGGTAGTGGCGGGGAGGGCAAGCATAGGTTGCAGCCTGGGGTTGCTTTTGGGCCTCTTGGGATCCAAGGCTCACTCAGCAGGTCCTACAGCTACACTAATTTGCGCTGATCATTTGGGATCTCCACTAGTACCAGCATCCAAGCTGCCAAGTGTTGGCAACTTCGGATCTAGAGTGTGTGTAGTAAGGGGGTAGGTGTCACGGTTTACTATTTGGAGGTTTCCCAACACCATGAGACACGTCTTGCAAACATCCCTAGTCACATTCATGCTAGTGAGAAAGTTCTGCAGTTCCGCCAGAGAGCATGCACAAGCAAAACAAAAGGCAAGGAACCATATCCCGACATCGCCATGATGTCGGGGACATTGTATGGACCATCACCAAAGCAGTAGAACACTGCAAGTAAAAAGTAGAAGCATCATGAGAACAGCAAGATGAATGCCAAGAGGAAAAGGGACTGTGAGGTTCGCATCTCCAGCGAGGATGGCTGGGACGAAGATGCGCAGACTCAGGAGCGCTGTTGGGGCGATGTTTTAAAATCAACATGCATAAACCCAGCAGTTATTCTCAGCCAGAGTCCAACTAGCCCTGCATAAGCGTGATGCATGGAGCAGTGGCATTTTTGCGAGGGCCTGCAACTGTGTGTTGCGGAGCTGCACGTAACAAACAAATGTGCACACGCTACGTGTCACGGAATTGTAGCAGTGGCTCAGGTGCCTCCTTCCGGACAGCTACCGCGTCTCTGAGCCCTAAACCCTGTAAGTGCTTCAAGCTCAAGTTATTATTTCAGGGACAATCGTAGGTAGTTCCTTGGGAAGTATCCAGATAACTGTTCCGCTCCAAATCAACATGGAACCCTAGCAGACAACGACTAGGGGGATTATATAACCCCCATATAATCCCCTTATATAACATCAATATATCCCCTATATAATCCCTATATAACCCTTATATTTCCAACAGGAACACACCAAGCAGAAGGCGCCCAGCAGCACGGCCACTTGGACGCAGTGGGTAAGTTTCCTCTCACGCTTAACATGAGGGTATCCCAAAATTGTCGGTGTTTAGGGATTAGGGCTCAGGGTTTGGGGAGTAGGCTTCCACAAGTTATGGGTCATATGGGGACAACGGAAAACCAAATGGAAACTACTATTTAGGGTTTAGGGATTAGGGCTCAGGGCTTGCCAAAATTAAGGGTACTATTTTGGGGGGTCCCCTTAGTAAGGATGATCATATTTGGGGGTCTATATAGGGGTCCCCTTTTTTGGGGGGAACTACCACATCTGTGGACCAATGGGCTTTGGCAATGTTCCGCAACTTGCAAAGTCTCGGGTCGGACTCTCCATGTCAGCTTGGCGAAGGGTAATTGCTACAAACAGGAGACGAGGGAGGTGGGAAAGATTCCTGTCCGCGAAGACCAGACGCCACAGGGTTTCTTGCCCAACCATAGGCCTATGTGACATGTGCAGTGCCGCACCTTACTGAGAGGGTGAGGATAAGTATATGCCCAGGTATAAGTGCCCTGGGGAGCCTTGTCTATGAATATTGCTACATGAGCTACAGTAATGGCACTGCCATGAAACAGATGGAGTTTGGAGACTTCTGTTTTGTCTGGGGAGTAAGGCCATAAGGTACTTCAAGCTGACCTGAAATTGATATTGGAAATCATTCAGGCCCCTGGAGTACTAGCTGATTAGGCGCACTCTGGGGTTCATGGGAGATGGTTTCTCTGGTTACTTGTGGAGGGGGCTGGAGCAGACCTCAAGAACTCCGCGATCTACGAGGCCCACCCTAAACCCCAGTTTACGCAAATTTGCTGGGGAAAAGTGTCTTTAACACTAAGCTTATAACCCCAAACCTTAAATCCTCAAGCCTTAACCCAAAACCCAGTACCCTAGACTCAAATCCCCAAAACACTACATCCTGAACCCAAAGCCCAAAACCTAAATATGATATTCAAGGGATGTTCATTTGCTCCCCTAGCAGCATTGACGACAACAGCCAGTGTCATGAAGTAATAACAAAGGATATTTCTGGGGCGGGTATGCAGAGAGTCGATCAAAAGACACGACCCTGGACTTCATCAAGGCTCAAAGCTCAAACCGCGTCCCTTGTTTGCAAACTTCTTCGAATAACGTTATTACTTCTCACCAGAACCCCAGAACCCGAAGGTGTCAAGACGAATTGGAACTAACGGTACCCAAGACTTCAAACCGCCTTAATTCTGACGATATGCGAACATCCCAACTGTCCGCAACCAAGCCGTGGCAGGCAGCCAGCCCTGTGAAGTAGAAGGCAGGTTACAACGAACAAGCGCAGCCGTGCCACGAAACATATACAGAACTATGCGGCATGGGCAAGCTTGCCATAAAAGATATAGGAAATTTAGATGAATATAGATTTCAGATATCTTCAAATTTATCATGAAGTCTTCAATATAACTTGAATCTATGATATCAAATAGAAGAAATTCGTTATTCTTGGATTTGACCAATAAAGAAATTGATTTCAATCTATGATATTCAATACATCCGTTTTGGCACTGTTTCATTATCTTCATTTGGCGCGAGTTGGATGAGGCGATCGCGAAATTTATATATATTTAAATTCCGTAATAATTCGGGAATTAACTGAAATTGATTATCTTGGAAATTTTATATGATATCAATAATTAATATATTGCTTTGGAATTATTCGTGATAAGATTATACTAAATGATTATGAAGATTGATTAAATCGATTCTTCTTATTTCTATTTTCTTATTTTCTATTTAATTATCGATTAAAAAATTCGTATATTAGTATTTTTCTTGATAATATTATAAATATAGATATTATGAATTACTATCGTTTTTCATTATGAAAATATTGGATATTAAAATTTATGATATATTTATTTTCGATTATAATATGATTTTTCTCTAAAATGATGAAATATCTATAGGTCGAGAAGACTATAGGCTAATCCGTAAGTTATCGTAAAGAATTAATGTATACGATATTGGATCGCCAAATTACGTATTTAAAGCCGCAATTGTTCGCGGAACACTTAGGGAGCTAATATCTCGCGATACCGGGAAGAGAAAATGACAATGCCATATGAAGAGTAATTCAATGAAATCTCCGCCTTAAGAATTCACTATATTGATACGTAATCCAATTCCGTGAAAAGGAAGAAATCTGGCTATTCAAGACTTCTAAGAAATCCAATTAGGCATCTTATATTCATTTGATGGATTTGGATAGGGAGGGCAGGCTGGGCATACGTAATCTATCGACTCCGGATTGCGCTGGATTGGCAAGGATAAGAAATGGAGCCGGGAGGAAGATTTAATCGAAAAAGAATCTCATGGAAGAAGAATGATGATTTCTTGGATTATTTCCTCGTCTATATATGAGGCAATGGTTGATATAATGCTATAATATCTAATCAAATATCTCTGCAATGTCCAATCATATGGAAGAGCTATAATCTTCAATTATAGAATAAGCTTGCAATATTTAGTTCCAGGATATCTTTAATACCCAATCATAAAATATCTTTATAATGCCCAGCTACAAAATATCTCAATATTAAGGTGCGATTATTCATGGCTATTTTGACCGTGTGCGACCTAGCCTTTCTGGCTCCCCTCTAAAATACCTCCTGCGGACCTCCTAGGAACTCTAAAATCTCGGAGATTTTAGAGCCCTTCAGAAAAATTATAGGATCTAAAATCTCCGAGATTTCCGCAGCGGGCGGCGCGACGCGCGGCATTTATCCTGGCTGCGTGGCTATTCGACGGAATGCGCTGACCCAAGATAGGCGCATTTATCATACGCTCCCCGGATCCGCCGCACAATAATTAGCCCAAGAGAAATAAATGAAACGGAAATTCCGGATTGGAGACTTTGGACCGGAGGAAGGAAAATCTCTCGAGATTTCGAATCATTCCTTTTTCTTTGGCTATCTGCGGTCCTTGCCCTTCGGAGCGATCTTCCGCGTGATTCGTCTCTTTTTGGCTGCATATGCGGTTGGTCGGCAGAAGACGTAGATCCAAGAGAAAAATCCAAATCTTTCAGAATTTATAGCTTGGCTGCGTCAATCCAATAGATATTTATGCGTCCTCCAATCCGACGCGTAATAACTAGCCCAA